TGCAGACTTTGCAGACTTTGCCAGACCAGGGCAGTTTAGTTGAGAACAGAAACAAAAACTGCAGAACTCATGACCCAGAGGACCCAGAGAGCTCCCAGAGCCATGACACATCCTCAGTTCCTGACAGTACAAGTTCAGTGATTATCTCAGCTATCACTAAAAAGAGGGATGGAGCAAGAATGTATAACAAGAAACAACACTGCTTTTTTTGTGGCTGTGCATTGACGAAAATTGCTAGACACCTGGAGCGCAAACATAGCAAGGAGGTAGAGGTAGCAAAGGCTCTCAGTCATCCAAAGGGCTCCAGAGAAAGGCGAAAGCAGCTTGAGTATCTGCGTAACAAAGGTAATTTTGCTCACAATACTGCAATTATTAATACAGGTGCAGGGCAGATGATTCCACGAAAACTGCCTGAAAAGAACTTGGAAGGGGAAAGATTCATGCACTGCATTTACTGTCAAGGACTTTTCTTAAAGAATATTCTGTGGAGGCATTTGAAAGTCTGCAAATTCAAGCCTGGTGACATGAAGCCTAAACCTGGAAAAACCCGTGTCCAGGCTCTCTGTGGCTTTGCTCAGCCTCCCCCACCGGGAGTAACTCATGGTGTTTGGAAGCTGTTAAATTCCATGAACCAAGACCAAGTGGCGCTTGAAGCTAGAAATGACTGGTGCATTTTAGAGCTGGGAAAGCATCTTTACAACAAGTATGGGTCAAGAGTTAAAATGCATGAACACATCCGCCAAAAGATGAGGGAGCTTGGGAGACTCCTAATATGTGCAAGAGAGGTGTCACCTGTTACAACTATTAAAGAGCTCATTGATCCCAAAAACTTCATACATACCGTTAATGCAGTTAAAAGAACAGCTGGATACAATGAGGAGACACACGTATATGAAATTGCTAGTGTCGCTGTAAAACGTGGACATAGCCTGAGCAAAATCGCAATGCTTATTGAGAGCCATTCTACCATCAATGGAGACGAAGCAACAGCAAAAGCTGCAAACAGCTTCCAACAGCTGTATCAGTCCCGATGGCCTGAGTACATTTCCACAGCAGCACGGCGAACCCTGGAGGAAGCAGAGTGGAACTCGCCACTTCTTCTTCCATTCACTGAAGATGTTAAATGTCTGCATGTGTATCTTGACCAGCAGGAGAAAATGTATCGCAATCTCTTGTCATCACAGCCTTCATCTCAGCACTGGTCAAAATTGGCCATGGTTACATTAACTCAGATTATGCTTTTTAATCAGAGACGAGAAGGGGAAGTGTCACAAATTCCTTTGTCTGCATACACTTCCAGCAACCAGTCAGATGGACATCCGGATATTAGCATGGCCCTCTCAGAGTTGGAAAATAAACTGTGTCAGTATTTCAAGAGATTAGAGATTAGAGGCAAAAGAGGCAGAAAGGTTCCTGTCCTTGTCACTCCTTCAATGCAAGAGTCAATCAGGCTACTAATTGAGAACCGAAATAGGTGTGGAGTACCGAATGAGAACTCTTTCCTCTTTGCACGTCCATTTGCACTGACTTTTTACAGAGGCTCTGACTGCATCCGTGAATTTGCAGTTAAGAACTTGGAAGGGGAAAGATTCATGCACTGCATTTACTGTCAAGGACTTTTCTTAAAGAATATTCTGTGGAGGCATTTGAAAGTCTGCAAATTCAAGCCTGGTGACATGAAGCCTAAACCTGGAAAAACCCGTGTCCAGGCTCTCTGTGGCTTTGCTCAGCCTCCCCCACCGGGAGTAACTCATGGTGTTTGGAAGCTGTTAAATTCCATGAACCAAGACCAAGTGGCGCTTGAAGCTAGAAATGACTGGTGCATTTTAGAGCTGGGAAAGCATCTTTACAACAAGTATGGGTCAAGAGTTAAAATGCATGAACACATCCGCCAAAAGATGAGGGAGCTTGGGAGACTCCTAATATGTGCAAGAGAGGTGTCACCTGTTACAACTATTAAAGAGCTCATTGATCCCAAAAACTTCATACATACCGTTAATGCAGTTAAAAGAACAGCTGGATACAATGAGGAGACACACGTATATGAAATTGCTAGTGTCGCTGTAAAACGTGGACATAGCCTGAGCAAAATCGCAATGCTTATTGAGAGCCATTCTACCATCAATGGAGACGAAGCAACAGCAAAAGCTGCAAACAGCTTCCAACAGCTGTATCAGTCCCGATGGCCTGAGTACATTTCCACAGCAGCACGGCGAACCCTGGAGGAAGCAGAGTGGAACTCGCCACTTCTTCTTCCATTCACTGAAGATGTTAAATGTCTGCATGTGTATCTTGACCAGCAGGAGAAAATGTATCGCAATCTCTTGTCATCACAGCCTTCATCTCAGCACTGGTCAAAATTGGCCATGGTTACATTAACTCAGATTATGCTTTTTAATCAGAGACGAGAAGGGGAAGTGTCACAAATTCCTTTGTCTGCATACACTTCCAGCAACCAGTCAGATGGACATCCGGATATTAGCATGGCCCTCTCAGAGTTGGAAAATAAACTGTGTCAGTATTTCAAGAGATTAGAGATTAGAGGCAAAAGAGGCAGAAAGGTTCCTGTCCTTGTCACTCCTTCAATGCAAGAGTCAATCAGGCTACTAATTGAGAACCGAAATAGGTGTGGAGTACCGAATGAGAACTCTTTCCTCTTTGCACGTCCATTTGCACTGACTTTTTACAGAGGCTCTGACTGCATCCGTGAATTTGCAGTTGCATGCAATGCTAAAAATCCTCAAACTCTCACTCTATAATTTTAGAGCTGGTGCTTTAAATTTCAATATTTCTAAATCACTGGTTAATGCTTGCAACTCACGATTAAACTTATTATATTCAACCATTTCTCTTAACAGTCTCATTATTTTCTTATTCAAAGTTTCCTGTTTTCTCATCAACTTTATTATAGTTCTCATCTTAAAATCCATATTCTGTTGATATTCCAGGTCTCTTCTTTGTCCGGCGACGCCGCTCCACTTTCGCTTGTTTTTTTATTTTTCGGCTTTCTTCCACCTGCAATCCTTCAATGATGAGATCACCAAAGTCAATATTTATTTTACTTGATTCTTGATCGCTTTTGCCTAAAGAAATGATATCCCCATTTTGTGTATAATTGTTTCTAGTAGGGATTTGATCAGGAAATTGCATATTCCTAGGCCTATCGACACCCTCTCCTGCAATTTCTTGATAATTCCTGCTATTTTGCCAATTAATAGGAAGCCTGTCAATCTTACATATCATATACATTGTACCTATCCTCTCACTCATATATTTCTTTTCAATATATACATGAAAACTATTGCCCATTTGTCTTATTAATGTTACTTCAAAAAATCGTCTAATTTCCCATTCAGAAAATGTATCTTGTTTTCTAGGAATATCATGGTAAAGGCAATCACTCTCCCCATCCCTCTCCACAAAGACACTCAGTATTCCCAAGGAAAGCCAAATCCTTTCTACGGATTCTGGTTGATCCCAAAACCGTCCTAAGGACATTCCAGCAATCTCGCCTCCGCTTTTTTCAGTCATCACTGCAGAGTCCTGTAAAAGAGTCGCGGGCCATTAATGAATGCCAAAGCATGAATTCCTGTACCGACAATATCCATTTCTATTTTAGTTTCTTTACCATTCCAAATTTATTTTTCTATTAGTCCCATAAACTCAACCAATTGAAATACTATCAGTGAACGTCTTAGGCCTATGTCCTGCCGTGCATATTGCCGTCCAAGGACACATGGTTTTATCCACCAGGTTATTATATATATTCCCAGATTATCTTTTTCTAATGTCCGTTCACTAAATCCATTATCTTTTAAATTTTCTCTATCACACTTTACTTCTCTTGAGCTCATACTATAAACTTGTGTCCATATAGGCACTTCCATGTTAACTGCATTTTTCACATTGTAATTTGGTTTACCCATACATTTTGAGCAATATCGATGACAATTTATTAATTCAAAATATAATCTTCTTGTTGAACTTCCACATCCACAACAAGCCTGTTTATGTTTATGGTCCATTCCTTTAAACTCCATTTTTGCATGCTCCATCTGAAATTTAGGCAGACAGTGAATCGGCTAAGTTCACGCTTGCCAGTCTCACACAACATTCTTTACATTGCTTAATTTTCTTTTTAATTTTATCCCATCTACTCATTAAAATCATAATTCCTAAAATTATAATATCATCATTTTTTAGAAAGCATCCTAATATAAAAGCACTCAAAGTCATTATTCCCACTATTATCCATAGATTTGCTTCTTGGCCATGTTTAACCAGTAACACTCCCATAAGGAAAATGGTAGTACATACAATTATTGTAATTTCACACCATATGACAAATTTATCCTTTTCAGTAATTACAGAAGATATGTCAATACACAATTTACACGTGCTGGACACCACTAGTGCCACTATCCCTGGGAATCCAATTATTTTACTCCATCCTTCTGAGATGGCCATCATATGACATACCAAAATTATTTTACTAATTCTTTTTATTAATAATATCCTAGTAATTTGAGATATACTAAAGACACAGTGCCACCAGAGATTTTGATTGACTCCTTGTATGAGCATCCACAACCCGTACAACCTCTCAGTCACAAGTAATCTTGGTAGTTCATATTCAGCATCTTCCTATTTTATTTTCAAATCACTAACTCCTCCTATTTCCTTTTCTAGCTCGCTTTGACAAACATTTCTCTTCCTTTTTTGGTAATTATCTCTTACAACAAAGGTTCCTCCATAGTGCTTTTCTTCCTCTTTCTGAAACGTTTATACCCCTTCACGAGTTCACACTTACATATAATGAACAGAGTAAAGGTTATGCGTATTTGGCGTGCTGTCCGGGGAGAGGGCTCCGAGCTCGGTCATTACTCTCGAGCCCGGAGTACTCCCCCCGTCCGGGGAGAGGGGTCCGAGCTCGGGTCTAAGCCCGGACCCAAAGCGCTCCCCCAAAGATGCAATTAGTACGGGACAGCAGCCAGAGAGGAGCATTGATAACCCCCCAAAATTTGCAAACTTAAAATTGGAGGGGTGCTGGACATCTATTGTCATTTTGCATTATTAACACACTATTTTCCTAATTAATGCTGTTCAGTTGCTTTGACACAATCTGTATTGTTAAAAGCGCTATATAAATAAAGGTGACTTGACTTGACTTGACATTCTCTGACGCATAACGGTGCAAAAACATTTTACCATAATAAATAGCAGCATTAATCCTATTATACTCAGTCCTCCATACAGTATATACCATCCTACCCTGACCAGAATGCTAGTCAATCCAGTCCACATACCCTTCGTAACAAAATTAAAGACTGCATTCGCAGCCTTTTTAATTCCTTCATAGCCTGTCCAGATAAACTCGCCGGGTTCCTCGTACCATCTGGGTCCCCCGGGGAACCGATCGCCTGATATTTCTACACTACTATTACAAATACTGTCCTTCATCCAGTTTAAACCCAAATAATATGTATTATCTTTCATTCTGCACCAATTTTCCTTCCAGTCTTTTTGTCCTATCGTTAGTGATAAGTCATCAATAGCTATAGCGTCGAGATTTGCTAAGGGCATGTTTTTTCCACCTTTAGGCACTCTGTATCTTAATATGCTATTTATGCTTATAAAAGCCGGACCATAAAACATTCTCCAATTTCGATTGCTATCTATTAATCTGATGACCCCTCCTGCTCCGTAGCTCATTTCATATTTATTGGCTAACTTACTCCTCTTAAAAGTCCATGGTAGTGGCACAATACCCGTAACCCCAATAACACAGAACTGAAGCCATTTGATTAATAGTAATATGATCAAAATCCTTAGAGCAGCTTTCAATAATTTTTCCACACTCCTCACCTTTCAAACCATAGACAGCATCGGGGAGGAAGATAAAAAAATTTCTATATATGCCTTCCTCATCTTTCCTCCTGCGTATATTCAATCTTTTTAAATATAATTTTCTTTTTACGCTTAGGAGTTCGCCCGTCCGGTTTCCTGTGAAAGGGTTAGTGCCATTAAGTAAATCACCACAATCCATGTATTCCTCGTCTTTATCACAAAAACTAGCATACGAAGCATCATTGTAATCAGTTTTCGTATATATATATTTTCTTTTGACTAATTTCTTTTCTAACACATTTATCCATTTGCTTCACTCTATTTTCATAATAATTTTTAATGTCATTTTCCGTCTTCAACGTTTAGTTTAATTCCATTTTAATTAAATACACTTCTGTTTTCCATTTCATATCATCTAGATCCCAGCAACCAACCTTAAAATTATATTTGACCCTTGGTATAGTCATCGTCTTTTTCCATATCCATGGCACTGTCTTATTTGATTCTAAACTAATTTTGGTGTTGGATCTAGTTTCAATCTCAGCGTACCCTGTTCTACGAGACCCTACATGTCTGTCTCTGACAGTTGTTAATAGAACAAATTCCCCTTCGGGGTTTAAAATTCGACTAGTTTTTATCCACTCTTCCACATTTTTTCTTATTTTCTCTGCATATTTTAATTTATCATTTTTATCTTCTCTTTTGATCCTTTTTACTGTCCCCTCATATTTACACTGGCCAATTTTCCATGGATCGAAATTTTTACCTGATCTAAATATCCAACATCCGCCCAGTTTCTCGACTGAACTGGTCCTATACGTTGGTCCTATGAAATATCTAACAGTATTATTTCCCTCACTTTCCTGAACGTAGCTATTTTCTTCGAATATTTCAATTTCGCTTTTATGCCATTGCCTCATTTTCACTGTACTTTTAAGCTTAACTTTAGGTGTACGAACCATATAATATCTTGTTTTATCTGTACTAATATTATCTAGCCATTTCCAAAAATTCTCAGTATTATTCTCTATTTCTTTTCTCTTTTTCTTAGAGGTCCCCCATACAGATCATTCAAATCCTGTTATATTTTCTCTTATGACTTCAACTTCAGCTAGAACAATTTTTCCTGTCATAATTTCCCATTCTAACACATAACTTACTCTTATTAGTATTAGCAAAAATATCACTGTTCCTAATAAAATCCATAACATGATACTCATCCATCTGCATATCCATCGCCGTCTTCTCAGATTCTTGATGGTTTCTCGGGCTTCTTCTAGTTCCCCAGAAAGGCTTTCCAACGATGGTGAGCGCTTCATGTTTCTGTAAGCAAAGGTTAGTTCTGTTGTGGCTCCACAATGAGCCGTTTCGATCTCCTTAGAACACCTGTCCTTTTTACTTTCATTTCCGGTTGAGGTTCATGCAGTTCAACCTCTACCCCCCGATCCACTTATAATCAGGGTGAGCACATGCCAACACATTGACTTTAAAATGCATTACAACCATGAAAGTTTCCTTAGGTTCCTCTATAATCTGTCCATTATTATAGGGAGTTCCCGTTACATATGTCTCATCAGACGGACTCTCAAACTTTATGCTCCTCTAACTCGTTCGCCAGCGATACTGTTAGTTGCACAAATTTCTCCTTTCTGATAGATTTTCGTTTCTCTTTTGTCACATTCGAACGAGGTTGGTTTCCTCGGAAGTCTTTATCATAGGGCTGGCTGTCTATCCAGCCCCCTCCTTCGGCTAATTCGATCGCCAGGTCGCTCCAACTGCGAACCTGCCAATTTTCGCCGCGCTTCATGTACACCCACGCGATCGTTCCCCGGGACCCCGGTTTGGTGTCCACCTCAGGGAAACATCTGCGTATTGGCTCGTGCCACAGTGTGAGATTCCACTTCATGGATTCACTTTTTGTGAGAGACATATCCTTCTCACGATCTTTCCTCTTTATCTTGCGAGCTGATTCTTCCCTCTCTTGAAGAGCCCTATCCTTTGTTTCCTTTCCATCTCTTGGAAAAATAGGAATTCTTGTCCCGAGGAAAGACTTCCTCTCATGTTCTCTCATCCCTAGATATGGATGTCTAGAGAACTTGGATATTATTCCGTCCTGGAATAATCCCAGCGGTTTAAGCATCCTTAAACCATCCCACATTGATCTCGATGATATCAATGTTCTGTTTTTTGCCTTACACACGACACAGATCGACAAAATTGCACCATCCCAGGTACAATTACACTTCTCACCGAAATTTCCGGACACTCGATATGAGTCTATCCGTACTTTAGCGTGAGCTGGCCGGCAATCCGAACAAATCAATACCCCCGATAGCCTATAGATAGTCCATTCAGCACCAATGCCCCTTTTTTCCTCGCATAAGCTCAGGTTTGGCATAGCGCATAATTGACTGCATATGACACAACAATAAGGCTGTACAAAAACCTCGTCGGCATTACCATTTTCTCCCATAAAGCCGCGGATGCGTTCCATCTCTGCATCTAGCCATAGATATGCTCTCGATCCGTGTTTGCTGTGCTCCACTCGGATCAAACCCCTGCGATTTATTACTTTATTTATGGTTTCCATTTCTTATTTCTTTATTAAATCCTTATTACTTTGAACCCCGTTATTTTCTAATTCT